TTATGCGGACAGGATGCACGTACCGCCGACCCTCCTCAATGTTATATCTTCACCTTGGCCTTTCTCCATGTGGGGCATTGATATGATTGGGATGATTGAACCCAAAGCTTCAAATGGTCATCGTTTCATCTTGGTAGCGATCGATTATTTTACTAAGTGGGTGGAAGCCGCATCTTATGCTAATGTAACCAGACAGGTGGTAGTCAGATTTATCAAGAATCAGATTATTTGTCGGTATGGTATCCCGAGTAAGATCATCACTGACAATGGGTCGAATTTGAATAACAAGATGATGAAGGAGCTTTGTGAAGAGTTCAAAATCGAGCATCATAATTCCTCTCCTTACAGGCCGAAGATGAATGGGGCTGTTGAAGCTGCTAACAAGAATATCAAGAAGATCGTCCAGAAGATGGTGGTAACTTATAAGGACTGGCATGAAATGCTTCCGTTTGCTTTACACGGGTATCGTACTTCGGTTCGAACTTCAACAGGCGTGACCCCTTTCTCCCTGGTTTATGGTATGGAAGCAGTACTCCCCGTGGAGGTTGAGATTCCGTCTCTGAGAGTGTTGATGGAAGCCAAGCTTTCCGAGGCCGAATGGTGTCAAAGTAGGTACGATCAGTTGAATTTAATCGAAGAAAAGAGATTAACAGCTTTGTGTCACGGTCAGTTGTATCAGCAAAGAATGAAGAAGGCTTTTGATAAGAAGGTTCGACCGCGCGAGTTCAGAGAAGGTGACCTCGTGCTCAAGAAGATATTATCTTTCCAACCCGATTCTAGGGGCAAATGGGCTCCTAACTATGAAGGACCGTTTGTTGTTAAGAAGGTTTTCTCCGGAGGTGCCATGATTCTCGCCAATATGGATGGCGAAGATCTCCCGCGTCCCTTGAACGCCGATGCAGTCAAGAAGTATTTCGCTTAGGCAAATTTCTGGTCAAATCAGTCTTGGCATCTGAGCATATTCTGGAATTCAAAGTTGTTAGGGAGAATAGTGATCATTGTTTTTGTATGACCTTTTACTTCACATACTATTTCCCCAAACTTTTGTAAACCATTGGAGTCGCATTGTTAGCGAACTACCATCTTATTAATGAAATTTGAGCATTTACCTTTTGTGGGCAAAATTTTAATATTTTATGGAAATACTTGAAACAAATTTACTTAAAATATTCTTATTTCTAAAATGTGTCGTGCATAACGAAAGGAATATTAACAGTCGTTCCGAAAATGGTCAAGCCATGAAATGCAAAACAGTACAGTAATTTATATTTGCATGGTGAATTTGTTTTCTTTCAAAATCGTCATTAAGTGTTGGCTGTGTACATGCTTGGTTATGGTGGTGCTAAACTTGGTGACTCCCCAGTTGTTCCAGTTAAGTGTGGTTTTAGCTACCTTTGTTTGGGAGATTTTGAAGTGCGGTGCACTTCGTCTTATGCCAGTGGTTTATTGGTGCTAGAAGATTGGATTTGATTGTTCGTCTCTTCAGAAGACTTGGGCCTTGTAGCGTGACATCTTCCGACGTTGCTTTGTATTCCGTTTATCTTCCATCTTTTCAAGAGTGGCCGAGCATTTACGTTGCTGTGACACCTTATTATCTCCAAGATATCCCATCTGTCTGTTTTGTCAGCATATACATGACATTCATTTATTCATCCACACTCGCATCATGCACACACAGTTGTATTTGTTAATGTCATTAAATTCGTACACCTTAGTTGTGTCTTTTTCAAATAACGTATTTGATCCTTCCCAAATAGGGTGTCAACTTAAGCAGAAAGTGCGCCTCCCTTCTAATTCCCCAACTGAGCTAATCCTCGTGGATGATTTTTGATTTAGCTTACCTTGTCCATTTCTCGATAGGATAATCTCCCCAATCGATTTACTTTCTCATTGGGAGGAGTCTTGTTTGACTGTTTTCTCTCTGGTTATTCCTGGATGAAGTTGTTGCCTCTTGCATAGGCTACCTCAGTGTTTTTCCCCAGTGAAATTGCGACCTAGACGGTTGGTGCATTTATTTCGCACGTTTAAATATGTGATCTCCTCGGGAAGGATTGATTCAGGGTTCTCTTTGATGAAGATTTTATTCTCTGCCAATATCATCGCAGTTTCCCTCTGAATTATGTTGGAAAACGACAAGCGGTAGCTCTTCACGAGCAACTTGTACGTTACTATCTTCGACAAGCGCCGAGCAGTAGTTCTTCATGAGCTACTAGTGCGTTATTTTATCTTTCGGAAAGCGCCAAGCAGCAGTTCTTCACGAGCTACTAGTGCGTCATTTTATTCCGTTGGAAAGCACCGAGCAGCAGTTCTTCATGAGCTACTAGTGCGTCAGTTATGACTTTGTGAAAGCGCCGAGCAGCAGTTCTTCATGAGCTACTAGTGCGTCATCGTCATTTTATCCTTTTTGGGAAGCGCCGAGCAGCAGTTCTTCATGAACTACTAGTGCGTCATTTACTCTTTTTGAAAGCGACAAGCAGCAAACTCTTCATGAGTTACCAGTACGTGTTACCAGTACGTTATTATTCTTCGGAAAACAGCAAGTGGTGGCCTCTTTATTTGAGCAGCTTGTATGTTACTGGTATTTTCTTTGGACGACAGCAAGTGGTAGCCTCTTTATTTGAGCAGCTTGTTTGTTATCGGTATTTTCTTTGGACGACAGCAAGTGGTAGCTTCTTTATTTGAGCAACTTGTTCGTTATCGGTATTTTCTTTGGACGACAGCAAGTGGTAGCTTCTTTATTTGAGCAACTTGTTTGTTATCGGTATTTTCTTTGGACGCCAACAGCTGGCAATTTTCTTTATTTGAACAACCTTCGTATCTACAGTCTTATCACCTCAGCATTAATGAGTATACCTCTGAAATCTCGCAGAGAAGTCTGGTACGAATCTACACCTCCAGAAGTCGGTAACCAGTTATCAGCAATTCGATACTCCCTGTCTACCGTCGACCTTGAGTTGCGAATTCACTATTTGGATCAATAATCTGTTATGGCCTATGCAAGATGCTCTCTTTGTTAGGGTTAGAGGTCGTATTCCCTCAGTTTTATTCGCTGTCAGGAGTCTGTCGTTTGAAGTCGATAGCTCGTTCTCCCAGTAGCGCATAATTCATGTCTTGGTGTTTTGTTGACGTTCGATTCCCTCAACATTGTCTCGTTTCACAGTATCTTTCTCTGTGAGTTAGATCGCTGCATTCATACCAGACGTGACGACGGCATCTTAGGACAAAATTTGCGTAGTTATGTATTTAAGTACCTTCAATCTCGTCGACACGAAGATTTTAATCTTCATATCTCCGGATAGAAGAAACTTAAATAGGGGCAGCTGTTGTACCCCAAATTTTGACCTAAGACGTCATCCCCTATCTGCATCTTTACATTACATTTGTTTTGATCCATCGATTTTAAATTTCATGACTTTTTCAGGCCAAGAGCTATTTATGCTGAACATTAAATCATTTAATCGATTCGTGCAAAAAATGATGTTTATTAATTATCTATTATCTAAAACTTAAATAATTGAAATTCATTTTTGATTATTATTTAGTTTAAAGATGTATGGATAATAAAATGAACATCAGAGAAGAGGCGCATTAATTGTGTGGATAGTATTTATTTATTACTCATTATTTTAAATTTAAGTAACTAGAATTTATTTTTTAGTTATTACATAATTTAAAAGTCATGAATAATATAATAAGCATTCGAAGAATTCATTGGTCAATAACGATTGTTTAATCACTCGTCGTTCTAAGTTAAATAATTGAAACCCTGTTTTAATTATTATAATTTAGTTGGGAATGATGAATTAAATAACCGAAGATATTAGTTGATCAATGATAATTATTATTTATCTGCTTATTATTTTGAATGTAGGTAATTGGAAATTTGTTTTCAATTATTATTCGTTCGGAGAAATAATAAACGATAAATAAATAAAGAAGAAGAATTTAATGGACAAATAGTTTTCTTTATTCATTTTCTTATTGTACAAGTTATTATGTAAATATTGTATATATATTACAGTAAATTACAATAATAAATTGACAAAATTAAAATGAAATAAAAAACTAATCTATTTTAATTCTAAAGCTTCCAATCCAATGCTCGCTCTTGTCTGCTCATTTAATGTTACCTGCGAAAACGATTAAAAGAAAGTCAGAATCGAAAACGATTAAAAGCAAAATTATTTAATGCTCATCATTAAAAGCACTGGCCGGAATCAGTTTACCTTTTTTTGCAAATCACGGGATTTCTCCCGGTTCACAAAAAAAGGAGGAATTTTATTTCATAAATGAATGCAATTTAAAACATGCACAAACTCATTTTTTTTATTTTTTTTCAAAACTGCATATTTGAAAGTAATTGCATTTTCAAAAATCCAAATGCCTATTTCAAAAGAGCATACAGCATACAAAAAGTAGCAGCAGCATCAAGAATAAAGCAAATGCCAACGTAAACCCACTGTACCATGCAAAAGAGAATATGCAGTTTAACCAATATGCAAGCAATGTTTGTTTCCTATTTTCATCATTTTCCAGCAGGGGTGCTTTTTCAGAGCAAATGCAAACATCATTTTATATCAAATTTGCATTGAAGAGAGAGAAGAGAGATAGAGAATTGGTTTTGCAGGTTTGGTTTAGGCAGGAAGAGATACAAGACAAACTGCAATAATATGGCCAGTAGGGAGTAAAACATAAAAGAGGAATAGAGACAAACTAAATGTAACAGTTTGACGCAGAAGGCCAAGAGGAGGGTAAAAAATATATTTCAATCTTCAGCCTGTAACAAAGGAGGCAGTGGATATAACGTTAGAATCACTTCAGAACACAAAAAAAAAATCAATCTCCAAGCCTTGAAAAAACTTAGAAAAACTGCTGTCAACAAAAATATACCAACCATTTTTCAAACATCCTGCATACACAACCATAAACCTGTCTATCACCAAAAACCAAAAACACAAAAACAACCCTCAAACCATTTTCAAAACCTGTAGAACCATCATTCAAAACCTGATAGCCATCACCAAACCAACAAAAACCTGCAATGGCCTCACATCAGTAAAACCTTGGCCCTGTCCAACCTAACCGAAAACCAGTTCACCATATCAAAATAACCTGCACAAACCTAAAGCCTTATAGCCATTCTTCAAAACACAATCCACACAAACCAAAAATCTCTACCAGCATCATAACATACTGTCAAGAAAACCATAAAACATAGCTCAATCCTCATACCAGTATGAAAAGCCATATCCCTACTGTGAAAGCCTAGTCACATAAACCTGACAAAACCTTTTACAAGTTCAAGCCATACCATTTTCGTAAATCCAGCATATCCGAGTTTTCAAATCCATTCCCTAGCCTCAGAAAGTTCATTCATCATAGGCGATAAACCCACCATAGGCAACAGCATTCAAGAAGAAGAGAGGGTTATCATCCAATTCTACAAAGTATCCAAAGCAACATTTCAAGGCAAGCATCTCAAAGTATCCTAGGCAATAATATTCAAGAAGAAGAAGAAAGAGCCAAAGTGCAGTTCAACAGGTTCCAACAATAGCAAACACAGTAACATTCAAGCAAAAGGAAGGAAATCGCAAATACCGTTCACCACCGTGTGCGCCTGCTGTCTCCCTGCTGTCCGGCCTCCATCACCCCAAGCTCCTCCTCCTTCTCCACCTAGGTAACGCTTTCTTTCATTCTTATTCCTTAAAACGCCATTCAAATCGACATGGACAGTAAAAATGGAAAACTAGTCAGAATCAACCAAGAAACCTTAAAGTCAACCAAGAAATTGTAAAAATCAACAACGAATTTGTAAAGTTTATACGCGAATTAAATCAACAGTAACGAAAGCGTTTTGTCATTACCGTCTCCGCTTGAAGCCGCCGCGTCAACAATGGAGGGAAGAGAGACTTGGTGTGGGTGGCCGGAACAAGGAAACATCAACATTGGAGGCAAAGAAAACGAAGAAGCTGCGCGAGAGAGATGAAGATCGTGAAGAGAGGCGCCGTTCTGCCTTAAACCAAACCCTAAATCCCTTTGTAATAGCAAACACAACCCTAATCAACATTTAATCCCTTGGACCCTTAAGCCCACGACCTGACCCGACCCATCTCCCTTAAACCCAGTTCGTTTCCTTTTTGCTTAAGCCCATCTTTTATTTACTCTTAGTTTAATTCTATTCTTAACTTATATTAATTTATACTAGTTAGTTTTCTTAGGGATAACATATTTTTTTAAATAGATAATTATAACACTTTACCTAAATCTTATTTAATCTAAGTTTAGGTTATTTTAATAACTTTAGTCTTCCTTATTTTAATTAGATATTTGATTTATAAGTTTTACTTAATTTGAAAAATATTTAATATCTTTAAAAAACATGTGAAAGTAAAAAATGAGAAAAAACTAAAAGACATTTTACATTTTATTTTATTCCCCTCATTTTGATTAAATACCAATATACAAAAAGACATAAAAAATAGAAATCTATAAAAACATTAAAAACATTTCTATTAATTCTCGTTACCTTTTATCATTAAAAATGCGTAAAAAAGTGAAAACCAATTAAACTTTTTCTTTCGCCTATTAAACAAAAATCATATAAAAATGCATGTTCACATTTAATTGTTGTGTATCATTTTCCGTCAATTATTTCATTGTACTTGTTTATTCTGTTTGCACCAATCCAAAGGGAATAGTCTAATTTTTTGTTGACTTCATGTCCTCAAAAAACGATCGAGCGAGTACCCTCATTTCATTGAAACTTAGGATAATCTTTCCAAATATCCGATTTCTCCAAAACTCACACCTTTTAAGCCAAAACTTCGACATTAGGTCGTCGCATTTCCAAAACCCGTCCGTATCCCTTTTTCAGCCAAAACTATTTATTTTCAATCAAGCGATCAATTTTAAATAAAACAGATATTTCAAAAGGTTCCTATAGAGTACTATAGATGCATTGGGTGCTAATACCTTCCCATTGTATAACCAACCCCCGAACCATAAGATCTCTTTTCAAAACGCTTTGTATTTGTATCTTATTTACATTGCATATTTAGGGTTTTATTTCGCTCTTTTCCCTTTTCCTTTGGAAACAATAAAGCGCGGTGGCGACTCTTGCTTTTGTGAGACGAATTAATCAATAATTCGATCTCCGATTTACCCCGCTACATTTTTTATCGCTACACTCACCACGTGGCCAGATATTGGCCACGTGTCACTCGCGAATGTAGTATTTTGTGAGTTACATGGATATTAATTGTTTGATTTTGAATAATAAACCAGTAGACAATGTGTCGAGTGATTTAATTACTCAAAGATGGACACCCTATTATTTATAGAATGTTTGAATAAATTAATTTGAAAAAGTATTTAGATTTATAGTATTCGATTTGTTTTTTAGTATTTTGATGTTTATGTGATAATGAAAATAAAGTAAATCAACAATTTCAAAAATAATAGACTAAATAATTTGAATTAAAAGAGGGTGGTAGAAATTTTTGGGTGGTGTAATTAAAAGAATGTTAGAAACATGAGCCCAAACCCAACCTTAATATTTAAACCCTAATTGAAACAAAATATTAGTAACAAGAATAAAAAAATAATAACATACAACATAGATCTCACCCTTTCAATTTTGTTTCAGGCCATCAGATCGTAACACATGGCAAAGTTAAAAAACAAAATAAAAGCAATAAACAAAAAGCATTATTATCAGGAAAAACAACAAGTTGTATATCTTCTTTTTTCTCTGTTCTTCATTGTTCGCGTATCCCACCTCACGATCTCTCATCTTCCATGCTCTTCTTTTCTTCCAAACAAAATCCCAATAGTTCAAACACCTGCAAAAACAATGGAGAAGCACCCAAGACAAGCAAGATAAAACGTTGGTGGTCGACATGGTGGTGAGCTCGCGATCGGAGATGGAGATCATGGTGTTGATTGGAGAGCACGTATCTCCTGGTGACACGGTTAATGGATACGTGGGCTTCTTCATCATGACTTATTCTTGAGTGGCGGTTGTTGATGGAGTCACTGATCTGGTGGGTGTCAAAGGTGTCTGTCGCGTTCGTCAGAGCGGAACAGGGGCTATTGGCGTTGCTGCCATGTTTTTTGTTGTTGCGCTTCTTTGATGATTTGGCAGTTATGCGTGTGTTCAAAATACATCTCTTCTCGCTTTTATTTGCTTTGAATGTGAGAGTCGTTGTTGTTGTGCGGAGATAGTTGTTATCGTCCAAATCTCGTAGCGGGGTTGCTGGTTTTCGCTGGTGGTAGCAGACCTGCTTGTGAAGGACGGAATTAAAGACGGAGGGTGTTGGAAGAAATCGTGATCTGGATGGCTGAGGCGTCGCTGTGTGAATCTTGCAGCGGCTGTATGAAAGCGCACGATTCTGACGTCGACGAATCCGCGTACGAACGCTGCTGGAAAGAATGACCTGATCTTCTTCTTTCTTCTCCGTATTTTCTTGCAAAAGTTGTGTTAGACTTTGTAACTGAACTTTACATGTCTGTTTATTTTTCTTATGAATTTATGTTTGGTTCTGTACAGGTTTGAATTGTTGATTAGGAGGTCTAGGGAGTATGTATATGTTGTACCCCAAAATTTTCCCTCTCATTCATCAAGAATTTGCTCACAAGATCTCATTGGGTTCAAGATTGCACTCGGGTTTGATCAGCTCAAGACACCTCCTTATGCACTGATGACCAAAATTAGGGTTTGAGTTTGCACAAGGATTTTTGAACTATCACTGCTTCATATGGCTTTAATGGATCATTGTGGACCCCCAAGATTACTCATGTCAAGTTTCAAGCTTTGAATCACACTTTTGATCAGTCAATTGAACAATTGACCTAAAAAATCAGCTGTATTGGGGAAAAAGTCAATCATGACCAATTTACAGTCAAACTTCATAGTTTTTGATCCACACCAACATTTTAGACCAATATGTATCATTTGATCAAGTTTGGACCATAAATCCTCAAGAAATTTGATCAAATCTCCAAAAGGGCAAAATAGTCAAAATTAGGGTTTTGACTGGGAAAGGGCAATTTCTGATTTTTGACCTAGAAAATGATCAATTGGCTTAAAGCATGATCTCAAGAGACCAATTTCATCATTTTGACCTAATGACATGATTCAAAACATTGCAAGTCCATTGGATTGACAGATGAATTTTACAGTCAACTGATCAAAAGTCAACTGTATACTGAAAAGTCAAACTTTGACTTTTTGGTCAAATTCAAGTGCCAAGGATCATAATCCATCAAAACGTGTCAAAATGTGAAACTTATTCATCAAGAAATAAAAAAGTCAAGATTTCATTTTGAAACGTCAAAATTTCTAAACTTAGAATTTTTTCTAAGTGTTAGAAATTTCATGTTTTTTCATAACTTCGATCCAAATTTTCACCATGATGCAAGATGATTCAAGGGAAACTCCCAACATGAAAGTTGTAGATCTCCATGAAGTCTACAACTTTTCTTCACACAACGTTTCCTAAAAATGCTTAGATCTCAAGTTATAATTTTGTGAATACATGCTCATGAACTAAAAAAGACTTGGTGAAATTTTGCCCTAGTTAGGCATATTTTTGACCTAACTTCATGACATTTTTTCACATAATTACAAAGGGAATATTCAAAATAAATTCAAAGATGAGTTGTAGATCACATTGAAAGATTTCCAAAATGTCCAAGAACTTCTTGAGATCATTCTTGAGTAGGGAGAATCAAAGAGATGAAGTTGGTGTTTTGTCACTTGGATTACAAGCCATTTTGTGAATAACACTTGGTCCAATCTTCAAGCATGCTGTACAAATCTCACTTTTCAGGCTTCTAACTTAACTTTCACTCCATAATTAAATGTTTTCACAGCTGTTGGAAGATTTAATCCAAGCATTCAATGCATTGTACAAAGATAATTCCATTTTGGGAAGAAAGGCAACATTGCCATTTTAGAAAAGCAAGCTTTATGCAAAGTCAGCTTGCATTGAGCCTTGCATTTGTTCTTTCTGCATAAACACACTCTACACAATCAGAACAAGTGTGCTTAAAGGTTTTAGCCACCCTACAAGCCTTGTACTTCACATTGAAACCATGCTTGCTAGCTTTGCTTCAAAAACAAGTAACCAAGCAAAAACACGTGATTTAAAATTCTGAGTTGTTAGAAGCCTCAAAATATCTAGCTTATAAGTATACACATTATTTGCAAGTTTATACACGGATGCTATTGCCCTGAAACTACCTCAAACATTCAAAAACCAAAAACCTGCTCAAGAACACCATTAACACACAGTTCTGAACCAAAACTTATGATCTTCATTTCCACTCGTGCGTTTTGAAAACTAATCACTCAGACACCTCCTATACATCATGCCAAAGCAATCCATACCCCTGTTTCCTAACTGTAACTCCTCCATCACTATCCACCTTTTTCAAATATCAAGCTTGCAGGTTGACTTGAGTAGAGATATTCAGGGACTTTGAAGGCAAAGTAAGAGTTAGAATACACTCAAGGAGGTCCAGGCAAGCTAAACAGATCCTCAGGCCATCTCAAAAGTTTCTCAAACTCCATTCACGACTCCAACTGCAAGAGGTAAAAACTCAAACTTCTATCTCTTCATACAAGCATCATTTGATCCTGATTTGTGAAAACAAAATGTAGATATCCTTGCTCTAAAGCTAACCATGTTTATAGTTTCCATTTATATTGACTGTATATAGAGAATTTTGGATTTGAAATTTCTGAGAAAATTAGGTTTCAATTTTGGGCCAGTAAAATTAGATTTTATCTTTGACATTTAGCTTACATAAGTTATATGGTTGAATTCGTGGGAAGAAACACCACAACTCTCGCTCAAGGTTGAAGACGAAGTTGCCTTCAGAAAGCACCTTCTAATATATATTTATGCTTTGATTATATGACTGGATGAAACAGCCACTCCAGTGGCAAGCGCACGCGTACTAAGGCACATGTTCTCTAAAGGGGCGAGAGTTCGAACCAATGTGAACCCCCCTTTTGCATTTATCCATTTTTTTGATTTTTTCTAACATCTTTTTTGCAGGCGCTGGGCCCTTTGGGCCTGGCATTTTTTTTGTTTTTGCTAGCATACTTCCCTGTTTACTTGTGACACCCCTTGGCCCATTTTATTTTTATTTATTTATTTATTTCTTTTTCTTTTAAATATATTTTCTAAAATACCAAAAAAATCATAAAAAGTATAAAAAATAATAGATTTATGTTTTGACATAATTTGAATATTTTCCACATAAAAAGTTATTTTATTCATTATACTTTATTTACTTTTATTAATTTCCTTGTAAATTAAATTAAAACTAGATTATTATTTATCTAAATATATTTATTTTAATATAAAAAAACCAAAAATATTTCATAATGCCACATATTATTTTCAAGACAAAAATATAAAAATACTTTTTTTCTTTAAACTAATTTTCCTTTAATCAACTAAAATAGATTTAGGGTTTTATTAAAATCTTTTCTTAATTAATTTATTTTCTTAATTAACTTAAGTTAATTTGATTTAATAACCTTTTTTTTTTCTAATTAGGTTTAGGTCAAAACCTCCTTCATACAAAAATCCAAACACAAAAAATCTTTTCTTTCAATTTGCATTTGTACTTTATATATTTCTTCAAATTATTTGTACAATATTCAATTTGGTTGTAATAGATTAATTAGGTTTATATTATTGCAATCCCCATTCATAAATTGTATACCCCCTCCCACAAGTGTTGTAATAGCTTAGTAACTTTAAATTTCACAATTTATCGCTTTTACATAATATGCTAGTAATTAGAGTTTGTATGAAAAGAATAAAATCAATCAAATAGAAAACCATAATTCAAGACAAAGTCAAGCATGAAAATGACACACTTGCACACAAACACCCCTAGGGTTACTCCACTTTGTTTCCTTATTGTTGTACCCCAAAATTTGCCCTCCCATATTTCTCAAAGCATTGCAAGAAAATCTCCAAGTGGCTCAAGGTAGCTCAAGAGTTGGTCAGACAAGCTCTCTCCTAAGACAGTCTACCCCAAATTAGGGTTTTGTGTTGCATCAAGATCCTTGAGTCCAAATAACCTCAAGTGCTTCCTAATGTACTAATATTTTCTCAAGATCATCCATGTCAAGTTTCAAGCCTTGCAGAGGAAGTTTGCTCAGTCAATTGCTCAAAAGTCCAAAAATCGACTGTGCTAGGGAAAAAGTCAACTGTGACCTACATACAGTCAAAATTCAAGATTTTTTGTCAACATTCTCATTTTGAAGTATATTTCATCATTTGATCAAGGGTTGATCATGATTCATCAAGGATTACTCAAAATTGATCAAGACTCAATAGTTACTAAATTAGGGTTTTGTAGGAAAAGTCAACTCAACTTTGACCAAGCATAACTTTCTCATACTTTATGAGAAATGACCCATCTAAATCTCATTTTGAATAGGATGCAATTACCTACAATCCATATTCACACCCCAAGATCAAAAAATGCACTCACAAGAAGTTATGAAATTGGACATTATAGGTCATTTTGGAAAAGTCAACAAAAACACCTTTTTTGCCAAAGATTATAACTTGAGCATGGAATATCAAAATTAGATGATATAAAAAGGGTTGGTTAGAGGACATCTCAAGCTTTCTAAAAAGTCTAAGAACACCTCCAAAAGTTCAAAATTGAAGAAGTTATGCATTGTTGAAGTTGGACTTTTTGCAAAATTGCCAAAAGTCAACTATCCCCAAACTTCAAATTTTGCCGAATGGGCCCATTCTTTTTCACTTGTTTTGAGTTTGCATTATTTCCCATGTACCTTAGCTTCATCCATGTGTCCACATCACATTTTTATTATTTAATTTGATTTTTATTTGAATTAATTTATTTTAAATCAAATAAAATCATGTAAAATCTAAAGCATTGATAACACATGATTTTTTGGCTATTTCAGGCTCCAAATACAGTCATTATGTGAATCAAATTCGTATCAAAGGCATTGGTTACAAGAATATATGATTTGGATCAAATTTGGAAAGGTTTTCATGGAGAATCAAATCAAATATCCAAACATCAATGTGGAGAGATTTGGACCAAGTTTGTAAACCTAATGCAATGTACAATACTTAAGCAAGCTGAAGGCATGAAAATAAGGGTTGGAAATCGTTGGAAGAGGCAGAACAACTTTGGAAAAAATCACAAAAAAGTGAGAGATCAAAATCAGGGTTAGAGGCATTTTCAAGGCTGGAGACATATCCCAATCGATTCCTGGCCATTCACACAAGCTAACTCGATCCAAATCATGCACCCTCAGGCCTCCATACACACTGTAAGTCCTTCGAAAAACCGCCCTGTTCTTGTTTTCGATTCGCATGATTCTGGCATCCATTGAACAAACTAATGGCATATTTGTGATCACAAGAACATTTGCAAGCTTTTGGCATTAACGAATTTCGTTTATATGAGCTGTAACAGGAATCACCATAATTAGGGTTCTTGGAGTTTTTTTTTGGGGTTTTCTATTTCAGGTACAATTGACCCATAAGAAGAACATGGTTGTGATCAGAAGGTCATGACGAATTGAACCATGTTCTTAGAATGTATTTATATGGCCTGAGGGAGATTTTAGAACAAGGCTGTGCTTTTAGCTGCAGATTCAAATCCGCAGGTAATGTTACAGTATTGGGAGGACAGGGACGAAGAGCAGTCACTCGCCCATTCGACCATTCAAACGAAACGCGCGTTTTTTTGTTTTGCTGGCAATTGTTTTGTTTTGATATATTATTATTAGTATATGTTATATTAACAATTGAAGTAGCTTGGCGTAGTGGTAGACATAGCGTGTGTATTCCCTTCAGGACCTGGGTTCGAATCCCAGGTCCCACACTTTCTCAATGATTTTTGTTTTCAGGTATTCCAGTGCATACGCTAGCTTGCAACCTACCATGCTCCCTCACTATCCAAGCGCCAGATGGCCAAAGGGCCAGATCTGGTGGCCAAGCGTTGAAGGTCCACCAAAGCGCTGGTCAATGCGTGTGTACCAGATCCAAAAAAGTCAAACGAACCAGCATTATTGGGCCTACAGATTTGCTACTCACACCCTTCAAAATCAGGCCCAACTCCTCTCTTTTATTTATTGTTTTATTTAATTTGATTGTTTTATTCCATTTTATTAATTTTCTAACCAATAACCAAATTCTTTTTTTATCAAATAAAATCACAAAAATATTTTTATTCAATCAAATTTTAAACTTTTATTTTTCTTAATAAACTTATTAATTAATTAGGTTTTTAGTTAGAAAACTTTAATTCATTTTTGTAAATAATTAAAATTAATTAGATTTAATTAGGTTTTAACTACTAATTTAATTAATTTTATCTTCTTTCTTAAAATAACAAAAACCCAAAAAAAAATGCCATAATTTATTTTTTCATTAAATAATTTATTAATTTAATTTAGTTATTTAATTTAGGATTAGTTTCCTTTCTTAAAATAAAAACAACAAAAACAAGTATTTTCTTTCAAAAGGGTCAAAACCCTAATCATGCATCCGATTTAATTTTGCGTCGCGATTTACTTTTCCTTATCCAATTATGTATCTGCTTACAGAATGTAATAGATAATTAGGACATTTTTATTTTTTTATCTCTTTACTTTATTTTATTTTTCAAAGGGTTGCTTTTGGCGATGTAAATACCCGACGCCTTGTAATTTAATTTCCGCACCCTTAATTTCTGCAAATTATAACTGTTAGATGTTTGATAATAGGGTTTGCATGACAATACTGAATGCTTAATTCTAAAATCAAATTATATCATCCTTAACATGTACAAAGATAAAAATAACTGAAAACAACACACTCGCACATGCGCACTCCTAGGGTACACCCCACTTGGTTGCCTTCGTACACGGTCATTGAGTATATGTCGTTTTAGAGGTCGCCCTTTTGTCTAAAAGATCATAGTCGCCTCGAAATGGTTGCCTCGGATATTGTTGCCTCAAACAAATGATCTAAGACTTTAGGGTTATTGCTAAGGCATCCTAACATTGCTTTAGTGACTGTAAGTCCCTCATTCGAATTGACCCTCAAATTCCAACAATGGTGCTACCTACTCATTAATAGTAGGATAGCATTGTCTAAAGGAAAATAACATAGAACGATTCCTTTTTCGAGTAGGTAGATGGTTCTTAGATACTTGCTCTTTCAAAAACAAAACAAAATTTTCACACTTACACCCCTTTTCAAACAAAGTTTTTCAAACAACACTTCATTACACTCTTGAGGACAGAAGCAAGAGTTAAATCGAAGT